CGCGCAATTGTCATTCAAAGTGTGATAGCGCTGAAAGCTGAAAATTGACCTGGACAGGAAGGGGGTGAAAGTGTCCAGACTGGAAGTGGTTAAAGGAGATTGTACAATTAGATTGTAATACATGCTATGAGTTGATTGGATGAGCTGGGCTGGCCCCGCCACTCCACCTTTTCTTTGAGAAAATGGAATGCATTATCTGAATGCTCCTTTGCTCAGCGTTCCTGGATTCAGAACACATCAGGCCAACCACACAGCATGGAACCCAGGAGCAAGTTGAGATCACTGAAGTAGCGGTGTCTTCTCCAGTGATTTTCAGTTTCCAGGGACATCGACCAGGTATGGGCATGGCTCCACTAGACCTCTGTAGGTATGCTGTGGGATCTGGCACCAAGCAATCGGTAGCCGATCCTTTAAGTCTTGCAAGTTGCAAGGTTGGGCCTCCATGAATCGGACTTGTTTTTACAGCATGTGCCACAAATGCTTGATTGGATTGAGATCTGGAGAATTTGAAGGCCAAGTCAACACCTCAAACTCATTGTTGTGTTCCTGTAACCATTCATAAATTCATTAGACTGGGCCACTTTCTTCCATTCCTCTATGATCCTGTTCTGATAATCATGTGCCCATTGAAGGTGCTTTTGACTGTGAACTGATCGGACTGAGCTGCAGCTACACAGCCACATACATAACAAACTGCAATGCACCGTGTGTTCTGACACCTTTCTATCAGACCCAGCATTAACTTTCTCAGCAATATGGATTACAGTAATTCTTGCAATGAATCAGACTATACAGACCAGCCTTTGCTTCCCATATGCAGCAATGAGCCTTGGCTGCTCATGTTACCACTTTCTTTCCTTGGAGCACTTTTTGATAGGTCCTGACCACTACAGACTGAGAATATCCCAGAAGAGCTGCGATTTTAGAGACGCTCTGACCCAGTTGTCTAGCCATTACAATTGCCAAATCACTCAAATCCTTAACCACTTGCCATCCTGAGGATTTACCCTTCTTAATGACTAGGCCTTTTTTTGCTATTTGGCGCTGCACTATTTCAATTGGTAATTGCGCGGTCATGCCATGCTGTACTTAAACTAAATTTACGTCCTTTTATTCACACAAATAGAGCTTTCTTTTCGGTGGTATTTGATCACCTGTGCGCTTTTTATTTTTTTGCGCTATAAACAAAAAGACCGAAAAATATTTAAAAATAAATATTTTTTGATTTTGGCTATAAAAAATATATAGTAAACTCAAAGTTGGCATAAATTTAGGCCAAAATGTATTCTGCTACATGTTTTTTGGTAAAAAAAAATCCCAATAAGTGTACCTTAGATTGTACACCCCTTGAGGGTGAGGGACTGATGTGAATGTACAATATATATGTGTAAAGCGCTGCGTAAATTGATGGCGCTATATAAGTACCTGAAATAAAAATAAATTTAAAAAAAATTGATTGCTTCATGTGAAAGTTATAGCGTCTACAAACTATGGTATAAATACTTCAATGTACAGCATTTTTTGCTATACAGCGCTGCACTAGTTTAACTGACAATTGCGTGGTCATGCAATACTGTACATAAATTAAATTTATGTACTTTTTTTTCACACAAATAGAGTTTTCTTTCGGTGGTATTTCATCAACTGTGCGCTTTTTTTTTTATTCTGCAAACACTGCGGTTTTTGTGTGCAATGTATCAAGTGAAAGTGACCTGACACTGCAATTGCTGGGGGAGAAAGGGGGGGGGGGGTAAGTATAGGGGCTAAACGCAGGTGCCGGGGCTGATCACGCTAGCGCTTAATTTTTGGGGACGCTATACTATTGTGAACGCTGGTATAGTGCTGATCTGATAAAAGATATTGATCCGTTCAGACCCTATACTATCAATGGAGGTTTATTGTGTATGTGAACGTGTTCCTGGCAAAAATTGTACAGTGTTTTCTACTCACAGTTTATGTAGCTTCTTCTCTCTGTGGGTGGAATGTGCCCAGAGAGAGAAGATTTTATCAGTTCCTGACCTGTGTAACTATCAGGACAGGATAGGACAGGGATCGATCATCCAACTTGGGCTGAACATCACTGGCCTAAATCGTATGATTGATCCATCCTGGACCAAATCTGGGGACCCAAGGGTCGGCGGTGGCGCGCACACCCCCCCCAGCCTGCGAAAACCGCGGGAGTGCGAATCACATATATATACACGTGATTTTGCGCACAGGGGCTGCCACGCAGCAATAAATGTACTTTGGGCGGTCCTTACGCGGATAAGCTCTCCTGTTTTTTTCTGATTTGAATACATGACATGTTCACTTGCTGCCTAATATACCCCACTGACATTCAGATGTACTCTTTTTGAGATACTCAATATTATCCTCAAAAATCCTCACAGGGAGTATTTTTAGGTTTCCTGGAGTTTAGCTTTAGAAGATGATCCTCACAGTGCTGGACCTTCCATAAAAGCTCAGAGGCTTCCATCGTCCTACACCAGAGCTCATCCCATTCCGAGAATAAAGCCTGGGATTTGAGATCTATCATTGGTTCCCCCCATTCTCCTCTGTCATGGTACAATCACACTGTCAGTTCCCGGTCCCCCATCCACCCTGGTCATGGTAAGATCACACTGCTAATGCCCGGTCCCCCCACCCTCCTTCGTCATGGTACAATCACACTGTCAGTTCCCGGTCCCCCATCCACCCTGGTCATGGTAAGATCACACTGCTAATGCCCGGTCCCCCCACCCTCCTTCGTCATGGTACAATCACTCTGTCAGTTCCCGGTCCCCCATCCACCCTGGTCATGGTAAGATCACACTGTCAGCGCCCGGTCCCCCTCCATCCTCCTTCGTGATGGTACGATCACACTGTCAGTGCCCGGTCCCCCCCCCCCCCCCCATTCTCCATGGTACAATCACAATGTCAGTGTCGGTCCCCCCTATCCTCCTCCGTCATGGTACGATCACACTGTCAGTGTCCGGTCCCCTTCATCCTCCTCCGTCATGGTATGATCACACTGTCAGTGCCCATTCCCCCATCCACCCCGGTCATGGTAAGATCACACTATCAGTGCCCGGTCCCCCCCATCCTCCATGGTACAATCACATTGTCAGTGCCCAGTCCCCCTCCATCCTCCTTCGTGATGGTACGATCACACTGTCAGTGCCCGTTCCCCCTCCATCCTCCCCCCCCCCCCCCCCCCCCCCCCATTCTCCATGGTACAATCACAATGTCAGTGCCCGGTCCCCCCTATCCTCCTCCGTCATGGTACGATCACACTGTTAGTGTCTGGTCCCCTTCATCCTCCTCCGTCATGGTACGATCACACTGTCAGTGCCCGGTCCCCCCCCCCATATCCTCCATGGTATGATCACACTGTCGGTGCCCGGTCCCCCCATGGTACGATCACACTGTCAGTTCCCGGTCCCCCCCCTATCCTCCATGGTACGATCAAACTGTCAGTACCCAATCCCCTGCATCCTCCTCCATCATGATAGGATCACACTGTCAGTGCCCGGTCCCCAGCCTCCATAGGACGATCACACTGTCAGTGCCCAGTCCCCCCCCCATCCTCCTCCGTCATGGTACGATCACACTGTCGGTGCCCGGTCCCCCCACCCCATCCTCCTCCATTATGGTACGATCACACTGTCAGTGCCCCGGTCCCCCCCACATCCTCCATGGTACGATCACACAGTCAGTGCCCGGTCCCCCCCATCCTCCGTGGTATGATCACACTGTCAGTGCCCGATCCCCCCCATCCTCCATGGTACGATCACACTGTCGGTGCCCGGTCCCCCCCATCCTCCATGGTACGATCACACTGTCAGTGCCCGGTCCCCCCCCCCCCATCCTCCATGGTACGATCACACTGTCAGTGCCCCCCGGTCCCCCCCCCCATCCTCCATGGTACAATCAAACTGTCAGTGCCTGCCCCCCCCCATCCTCCATGGTACAATCACACTGTCAGTGTCTGGTCCCCCCCCCATCCTCCATGGTACGATAACCCTGTCAGTGCCCAGGCCCCCCATCCTCCTCCGTCATGGTACGATCACACTATCAGTGCCCGATCTTCCCCCCATCCTCCATGGTACAATCACACTGTCAGTGCCCGCTCTCCCCCCATCCTCCTCGGTCATGGTACGATCACACTGTCAGTGCCCAGTCCCCCCCATCCCCCATGGTACGATCACACTGTCAGTGCCCGGTCCCCCCCCATCCTCCATGGTACGATCACACTGTCAGTGCCCGGTCCCCCCCATCCTCCATGGTACGATCACACTGTCAGTGCCCGGTTCCCCCCATGGTACGATCACACTGTCAGTGCCCGGTCCCCCCATCCTGCATGGTACGATCACACTGTCAGTGCCCGGTCCCACCCGCATCCTCCATGGTACGATCACACAGTCAGTGCCCGGTCCCCCCCCATCCTCCATGGTACGATCACACTGTCAGTGCCCGGTCCCCCCCATCCTCCATGGTACGATCACACTGTCAGTACCTCAGTGCCCGGTCCCCCCCCATCCCCCATGGTAGATCACACTGTCAGTGCCCGGTACCCCCCAATCCTCCATGGTACGATCACACTGTCAGTGCCCGGTCCCCCCCCATCCTCCATGGTACGATCACACTGTCAGTGCCCGGTCCCCCCCATCCTCCTCCGTCATGGTACGATCACACACTGCTCCCTGCTCCCGCACATCATCTCCAGCGGTTGGGAATTTTTTTTTAGTTCCTCGACCCCGCCCACGGCTTCAATTTTGTCTCTGTTAGGGGCGTGTCCGGGCCGTAACGCTTGGCTGGGGTGGGCGTGCCCGGTGCTCGGCGATTGGCCCCCGGAGGAGTGATGTAATGCCAGCGCTGGCTCTGATAACTAGTCGACTTGTCGGCGGCTGGAAGTTTTCAGTAAGGAGAGTAGAGGCGGCCCGGAGAGCAGGAGGTGCGGGGCTGGCGGCTCACACCACACTCACCTACCGCACTCCCACACAGCACAGCTCCCCGCCACCATGGTGCAGCAGGTAGACAGCCTGGAGCTGGACGGCGGCCACCCCACCGAGGAGGAGGGCGAGTTCATGGCCGGCAGCCCGGCGCCTCTGGACGAGAGCGACCCGGACTGGTGCAAGACCGCCAGCGGCCACATCAAGCGCCCCATGAACGCCTTCATGGTCTGGTCCAAGATCGAGCGGCGGAAGATCATGGAGCAGAGCCCGGACATGCACAACGCCGAGATCTCCAAGCGGCTGGGCAAGCGGTGGAAGATGCTGAACGACAGCGAGAAGATCCCGTTCATCCGGGAAGCCGAGCGCCTCCGGCTCAAACACATGGCCGACTACCCCGACTACAAGTACCGGCCAAGGAAAAAACCCAAGCTGGAGGCCAACGGCAGCAAACAGGCGGCGGGCGGCCAATCCCCGGAGAAGAGCCCCGCGGGGGCGGTCAAGAGCGGCAAGACCCCGGCCAAGAAGTGCCCCAAGCTGAAGCCGGCCGGCAAAACCGGGGCCAAGTCCCCGCAAGGCTACTCCGGCATGGAGGACTGCCTGCTGGGGAGCCTCAAGGTGACCAAGACGGTAAAATGCGTCTTCATGGACGAGGAGGAGGATGAGGATGACGAGGAGGACGACGAGCTGCAGATCAGGATCAAGCAGGAGGACGACGAGGAGCAGCTCCCCCAGTACAATGTGGCCAAAGTGCCGGCCAGTCCCACCTTGAGCTCCTCGGCGGAGTCTACAGAAGGGGCCAGCATGTACGAGGAGGTGAGCAATGGTGGAGGTGGTGGGACCAACACCAGCATCAGCACCAACAGCAGACTCTACTACAACTTCAAGAACATCACCAAACCCAGCACAGCACAACCCACCATCACCCTGGCCCCATCCCGCTCCTCCATCTCCTCCTCTTCTACCTCATCCTCGTCCACCGACAAAGATGATCTCCTCTTTGATCTCAGCTTGAACTTCACACACAACCCTCAGGCAGCACCCGAGCTGGGCAACTCCAACTCAGGAAGCCTTTCCCTCTCCTTGGTGGACAAGGACTTGGACTCGTGCAGTGAGGGGAGCCTGGGCTCCCACTTCGACTTCCCAGATTACTGTACCCCAGAGCTCAGCGAAATGATTGCAGGGGACTGGCTAGAAGCCAACTTTTCAGACTTGGTCTTCACCTACTAACAAAAAAGAAAAATCTCAACTCATTTTTTTCAAACTTTTTCTTTTGTAATTTTTGTATTTTTCGGGGTTGGGTGGGAAGGTTTCGAACAAAGTGGGGTTTGGGAGGTGGGTCGAAGGATCCCTTTTTTTTTAAGTTCTTCCAGAAATGTTTTTTGGGGGGCTTGATTCACTGCCTGTGATCTCTGGCATTTTCACTGTAAGATTAGTGAACATGTGGAGGAAGAAGGACTCTCCAAAAAATCTGTTTGATCAACGGTCTGGAAAATGTTGAATAGAAATGTTTTATTTCTTGTCAGCTGAGCTGATTCTCAAGGGGGTCATTGTGTCCTTATTTTTATTATTTTATTTTTTTTACCCTACACACACTTGCAATCTGTTGGAAAAATGACTAGGACAGCCTTGTTTTTATGTCTTGGAAAACAAACTAACACAATCTTATTTTATATTTTTCATTTTCCTACACTCTTGCATCTGTTGGGGAGGGGAAAAAAAATGGACAGCCTTACTGTATCTTTTTTTTTTTCCTACACACTTTGCAGTTTCTTGGAAAAAGAACTAGGACAACCTTTATTGCTTTTTTTCTATGTTTGTTTTGTCTTTCTATTTTTGTTTTCCTACACCAACTTGCAATCTCCTGGAAAGAAGACTAGGACAACCTTGTGTCTTTTTTTTTTTTTGTTTTTATTTTATATTTTTTTATTTTCCTACACACTATTGGAAAAAAGGACTATAACCTTTTTTTTTTTTTTTTTTTCTGTTTTTGGAGGGAGAAATTCAATTCTCTTCTATGCATCTCTTAAAGCTGCAGGGAGCTGAAGCAAGACAGGACAAACCGCTAGACTTAACTGTGAACTGATTGTAATCAGAGTTTTTACTTTTACAGATCAAAACTCTAAATGTATGGTTTCACAATGTGATTTTAATTGCCAACTTTTTTTGTAAAACTTGTTCCCTTATACCTCCTTGAATTTCAGACAACCCAGACCTCAGTACAAAAAAAGAAAAAAAAAAAAGGTATTGAACCATTTTTGATACATGACAGACCTCAGTCTTTTTTAAAAATTAAAATATTTTCAGGCGTATTTTTGTACAGTTGAAAAGGGAACATTCCTGCTGTCATTTGTTTTTGCTGTTTTCAGTGAGACGTTTAGGCACTTCTGTTTTATTTCTGTTTTAGCATGCAAGTATGTTGGGGGGGGGGGGGGATGGGGTGGGTGGGGGTAATGTCCTGATCTGGGGGGGGGGGGGATCCTTGCATCTAAATAAAACAAACCTAAAAAAAAAAACAAAAAATAAAAAGGCCTTGTGGTTTTAAAAAACATTTTTTTTGTACAGCTATAGTTCAGATTTGTCCAATATTTGTAGGTAAAGATTTATTGAATTGGTGACCTAGACCTCAGAGGAGCTGTAGCTTAAAGATTGTATATGTACTGTAATATAGTAGGACTCTATGTATATCATATGCTGTATTATGTGGATGGGGCCTGATCAAGTATGAGACTGGATGCTGGATTTTTAGCAAAAAAAGGCACATAATAAAAGGTTTCTTTAAAAAAAAAAAAATGTGCAATATAATCTGAAAAAAAAAGGAAACAAAGTGAATACAGGCCATCTGCATATTTTGTAGCAAATGATGGAATAACAGACTTGTGCACTGTCTACATCATTGCCTGTTTTTTCCTAATGCTGAAAGGCTGTATCTTGATGATTTTAATAAATCAGCTGGAACTGATAGAAACTGGTACTGGTGTCAGTGTGTCTCTTAGAATGGGAAGGGGGTGGGGCTGGGCTCCTGCTTTCCTGCAGCTAACCAGATTTTGGCAGGGAGGGGGGGGGTGGGGGTGTGACATGAAACATGTAATTCTTGCATGTATGTGAGATGCATAGACAGGGCTTTACAGTACAAAGAGTAGAGATGACTGAAGTGCAGAAACTCGTAGTAACCAGGTACAAATTTGTCTTCTGGTTGCCATCTACTATGGGTTTGCATTGCTATCATCACTCTTTGCACTAATCCCAAAAACGCCCACTAGTATTTAAATTGCATATATTGAGTAAATGCATGCCAACTAATAGACCTTTTATGGTGTATGTGTGTATATAGTTTAAGTACATGTGGCTTCTTGCATTGTGATCTTCCATGTGAATGGATGCATTGTTCAATCATTTCAGACCTGTCATGTCTACAAATTAGATACTGGTGACATACATGCATCTCTTTACATGTGCAGCCCTATCTAATGAGAGGGGGGACACATCTTTAACCACCTCTTAACCCTATTTCATGGTTTTGTATTTGTGCATCCTAGTTCATATCCACTGCCACAGATCAGTCCAAACTGAAATTAGATGTACACAGGGAATGCAGCGTGCACTGAGACATGCAATCACAGCTAAGGGTATAGATCACGTTAACATACATGTGTATACACCTTTTATTGCATAATGGTTCTTTATAGAAATGCATGCTGGCTTATATCCAGATCAGTGAATCCAAACCGAGTGGATGAACTGAAGACATAGATGCATTTTAATATGTAGCCACATTGATAGTATTGTATGTATGTGTAATATAAATGTATTATTACACATACATTTTTTTATTATATAATATATTAAATCTGCAGCCACATGCTTGTATAGTATATTTACATATACACATTTTTCTTATAGAATACATGCATATATTAAATCTGCAGCCTCATGATTGTATATTATATTTCTCTCTACACTTTTCTTCTGATTATGTAAGTGTATGTTCTGGTCCTTTTATGATCTCCAAGCATGCTGGTTCATCGTCAGTTCATTCCAGCCAGACTCCATACAGACATGTTCTGTAGATGGGATTGGGGGGGGGGGGGGCGCTTTGGGCGTGTCTATGATAAGAGCTGAGTCTCCAGTCTGTGCAAAGCATGACTTGTAGGTTTGTGCTCCAGTAACATGACACCGGGGTTAGTGCTTTGTATGCAGCCAATGTAGGTATCCTGTCTTGTGCTACACTCCCCCTCCCTCCTCCTTCCACCTTTCCCTCCTCTCTACACATCTGCATCATTTCACTTATATGAAGCTGTCTGGCCCCATCAAACTGCTAGACTTGTCCTCCTATAAATCTGCCATGGCTGAAACACACAAAGCAGGAGATTGGAGCTGCTTTAATATTTAGCAGAGGGCTTTTAATTATTTACATACGTTAGGGAGGAGCATCAGGGTCTGGTGCCTTGCAGAAAATCCATTCTGTGCCTGGTCTTTAAGGTCACCATACAGATTACAACTGAAATGTAATATCAACTTTATGGTCACCATGTATGTTAGAATCTGACCTTACAGTCTTTGTACAATTATCCTTGGATTTACGAAAACTGTGTAACCTGAGGACCTACCTAATCTCTTTAGGGTCACCATGTATCCTACAATCTGACTGTACAGTCTGCACAATTTAATCTTAGATTTTCTAAAAGGGCCTACCTAATGTCTTTAGGGTCAACATGTATGTGACAAGCTGACTACAGTCTTTGTACAAGATTTACCAAAACCATAATATGAGGACCTAGCTAATCTCTTTAGGGACCTTATGTATGGTACTATCCAACCGTACAGTCATCATTAGATTCACTAAAATGATGTAATACAATGACCTATCCAATCAATATATGCCCAGTTAGGCAAGTTCTTTCCACTAGATTGTATATTCTCCTTTAGATCCATCCACTATAAGACTGTAGAATGCGATGAGCTTTAGATTTACCAAAACTATGTAGTATGAAGACCATGGAATGTATCCAATTGGGTGGACTCTTGCTCTACATAGTTATTGGTAGATCTAAAGAAGATTGTATATAAGGGTCACCATACATGTAAGGAATGGTGTTGGCTATACCAAAACTATAATACAAGGACTACCCAATCTATCCTATTAATCTATGTCCAGTTAGGCAGGCCCATTCCACTATAGAGTTGTTGATAGATCTAAAGGAGCTTGTACAATCAGTAATGTGGTGAGCTTTAGGTTAACCAAAACTATGAAACGTAATATGAGGACCTACTAATTTATCCAATTGAGCAGGTTCTTGCACTGCATAGTTGTTGTTAGATCTTAGAGTCACCACATGTTACAATCTGACTGTTCAGCCTTTGTTCGATCAACATTAGATTTTCCAAAACCTATGTAATATGAGGACCTACCCAATGTATCCAATCAATTTGCACCAAGTGGGCAGGCCCTTGGGTTGGTAGAGCTAAAGGAGATTGAAGAGTCAGATTGTAATGTGTAGTGAGTGCAGATTTATCAAAACTATGCAGGAGGGTCACCATACACACTACCTTCTGACCAGACAATGTTTCTACAACCAATGTTGGTTCTACTAAAACTATGTAATATGAGCACTCGCCTTATCCAACCAATTAATTTGTATCTAATCGGGCAGGCCCTTGTACTACATTTTTGGTGGATCTAAAGGATATAGTATGTATCTCATATACTTTATGAAGATATATCTATCTAAGCAAGCATGCCTTTGCACTACATTCTTGTTGATAGGTCTAAAGGAGATGGGACAATTAGATTGTGTGGTGATCTTAATGTCATCCAATTGCCTTTCCAAGTTTATATTTAAAGATGACACTGTTGAGGAGATCTCTAGAGCCAGGTGATCCCTGGGGCCATACACACCTTGCCATGCAAAAAAAAATGAACCTTCCTTAATCCGAATGCTGCTGTTTCCTTTGAAGCTTGGGATTTCAAAGCCTTTGAGCGGCAGCAGAAGCAGCGGCGGTGCTGTTCCATGTAAAGACTATATGACTGCTCGGATGACATCATTGTGTACTGGCATAGAATAATATAACGAAGGATCACCATCTAATCCCTTAACAGTATGTCATTGCTTACTTCTAACACTATGCATGTGAGCTGCAGCCTGCACGTTTATTATTCTTTGCAACATCAACATCTTTTATTGATTCCTTTCTTTGTATCATTATTTTGTAACATTTCAAAGATGTAA